AGTATTCCATTGTATAGCTAAACCACAAATTGATCCATGAGTTCCATCTCCTCAGGATGTATAGTTCTAAATACATCCTTCAAACCATCTGGTCCAATGTGTTATTCAGGTCCATTGTTTCTTTAGTGGTTTTCTGTCTAGTTGATCTATCCATTGCTGTAAGTGGAGTATTAAAGTCTCCTGCTATTAGCACATTCTTATCCTTAAGATTGTTTGTGTTTGTGATTGTTTTATGTATTTGAGTGCTGCTGAATTCAGTGCGTAGACATTTTTAATTGTGAGCTCTTTCTGATGGATAGACCCTAGAATTAATATATAATGCCCTTCCTCATCCCTTGTTACTGCCTTTACTTTAAAGTCTGGTTTGTCTGATATATGAGTATGGCTACTCCAGCTTTCTTTTGACTTCCAGTAGCATGACAGATATTTCTCCATCTCCTTACTTTCAATCTGAAGGTGTCCTCAGGTCTAAAACGATCTCTTGTAGACAGCAAATAGATCATTTTGGGTTTTTTTAAATCCATTCTGCTATCCTATGTCTTTTCTTTGGAACATTCAGTCCATTCACATTCAGTGTTATTATTGAAAAATACGGGTTTAGAGTCATTTTGTTCTTTGTAGGATTCATGCTTATAGTGATGTCTCTGGTACTTTGTGTTCCATGCAACATTTCCCTCATAGAGCCCCCTAGGATTTCTTGTAGGGCTGGTTTAGTGGTGACGAATTGTTTCAATTTTTGTTCATTTGGGAAGACTTCTATCTCTCCTTCTATTCTGAATGACAGGCTTGCTGGATAGAGGATTCTTGACTGCATATTTTCTCTGTTCATCACATTGAAGATTTCCTGCCATTCCTTCTGGCCTGCCAGGTTTCAGTAGATAGGTCTGTCACCACTCTGATAGCTCTCCCTTTGTATGTTAGGGCCCTTTTATCTCTGGCTGCTTTCAAAATTCTCTCTTTGTCCTTACATTTTTCCAGTTTCACTATGATATGTCCTGCAGAAGATCGATTCAAGTTACGTCTGAGGGGAGTTCTCTGTGCCTCTTGAATTTCAATGTCTGTTTCCTTCCCCAGATTGGGGAAGTTTGCTGCTATGATTTGTTCAAGTACTCCTTCAGTGCCTTTCCCTCTCTCTTCCTCTTCTGGAAATTCTATGACAGGAATATTGTTTCATTTGATTGCATCATTCACTTCTTGGATTCTCCTTTCATGTTCCTGGATCAGTTTATCTCTCTTTTTTTCAGCTTCCTTTTTCTTTTTTCTTTTTTTTTTTTAATTTTTTAATGTTTTATTTATTTCTAGGAGAGAGAGAGAGAGAGACAGCGTGAGCAGGGGAGGGCCAGAGAGAGGGAGTCACAGACTGAAACAGGCTCCAGGCTCTGATCTGGCAGTCAGCACAGAGCCCAAAGCGGGGCTTGAACCCACGAACAGCAAGATCATGACCTAAGCGAAAGTCGGACGCTTAACCGACTAAGCCACCCAGGCGCCCCTAGCTTCCTCTTTTTCTATAATTGTGTCTTCTCATTTACCGATTCTCCTCCCTGCCTCTTGAATCCGTGCATTGGACGCCTCCATTTTATTATGCACCTCATTTATAGCATATTTTAATTCATCACAACTATTGTTACACTCCATAGTCTTTGTAGCAGTAGCTTCTCTGATGTCTTCCATGCCTTTTTCAAGCCCAGCGATTAACTTTATGACTATTGTTCTAAATTCTTGTTCAGTTATGTTGCTTATATCTGTTTTGAGCAGTTCTTTAGCTTCACTTCTTCCTGGAATTTCTTTAGAGGAGAGTTCTTCCATTTCGTCTTTTTGGCAAGCTTTCTGTCTCCTGTTAATTTTAAAAGTTTGTTATGTTTCTGCACCTGTGAGTACAGCTATATTAAAGAAGGTTCATCGACTGTCCAGGGCCTGTCTCTTCAGGAAGTGTTCTCTGAATGGTGTCTCTTGGTCTCTTTTGTTGAAACTTTGGTTATTTTGTTTCCTTACTCACAGCGGTACTTGGGACTCTCCACTATGTGTACTTTGGCTTATTTTTTGCGGTAGTCCTGGAAAGGAAAACAGACAGACAAACACACAGGGGACAAAAGCATGCAAAGGCACAGGCAAATCCAACAAACAAGCAAACCGAAAAGGAAAAAGAAAATGAAACAGAAAAACCCAAAACCCAAAGGACAGTCTAAAAGCATAAAACCAGAATTCCCAGCTACAAATAAAGAGCAGGGTGTACCCAGTGTTAACGAAAGAGCATATACAAAGAGAGAAATGACAGCGTAGGGGAGAAAGGGAATTATGACTATGACCAGGCAGAGGACTAAGGTTCTTAATTCAGAAAGAGAAAGAGGAGAATATGGTAGGAAGCAAGGAGAAAGAAACTAAGATAATCTTACCCAAAGAAACTATATAGTCCTGATTACTCCAGAGAGAGAAAAATAGGAAGGTAATTGTGGAGGTGTAAAATATACATCTAGAGATAGGATTAAATGTGGCAGTTTAAGCAAACCAATGACCAGAGTGCCCAGCCCAGCAGAGGGGAGTGATAAGAATGAGACAAGGGAAAATATATCTGAATAGAAAGAATTGATCTAGAATTAATCATGGCAGTGCATCCATGTTGGTCTTGTCCTGGGCTCCAGGGGGGAAAAAAGCCAGCTCTCTAGCAGGGATAGGCATGGTTTGGTGTAGGCAGGTCTGGACTCCACTGCGTTCCCATGGGCCACTCCCTAAGGTCCTGCCTTGGTGGTTGTAGGGAGAAATATGGTGACATCCAGTTTCTGCTCGAACCAGCTGTTGCAAATCACTCTTTTGGGTCTGATCTCCCTGTATCACGGGCATAACCAGTGTGGGCCATGTTCTATGTCCCAACTCTACCTTGTTTTCAGTTCTTAGTCTGCGTGCTTTATTGATACTACCTGAAATGTAATCCTGCAGGCTGGGCTGCCTCCTAGCTGGGGATCCAGCCAGTAAAGCAGCAGAGTAGTTTCTCCTGGTGCCATCTGGGACTGGGGCACCTAGCCCAAAGTCAGCTCCACAGCTAGCAATAGGGTCACTCTGAGAACACCCTGCAGTTAGGGATGGGATGTTAAGACCCTCTCCATCCCAAGCTGAGGTTTTTCTCTTCTCTAGGGACAGTTCTATGAGAAGTTTCAGTGGCTCTTTCTCTTCCCCTCGACTCACCGAGGCTCCCTGCTAAGGGGGTTCCCTCCCCTCCTTCTCTTCAGGTCCCAGCCCGTTTTTATCTTCCCCAGTTCTCAATCATGCACCTATGAGCCTGTCTTCTTAGTGGACACTGTCTCTTTTCCTCCCAGACTCCTGTGGTTCAGTGTCCTATGGATTCAGGCCTTCTCTGTTTGAGAGATGGGGGCGAGCAAAATGTATGGAGCCCCTTACTTCACCACCATCTTGCCTCAAAACCCCGTAAATGAACAATTTTAAGCCCCAAATGCACAGAGGCTTGACAGGTACAGTAAGTGGAGAAGTAAGCAGGTGTAATAAAATAAGGCATAGTGGAAACCGTGTCAAATTGGAGAGCATTCCATTTAAGTGAAGAATACAATTTTCAGCTTCAGTCAGGTGGTGCCAGTTTGAAATAAAGACCCAGTATTGCCAGACCTCCTAAATTTTCAAGAGAAACCTTCAAGACTTTTAAATGAAACCTCCCAAGGTTTAAATGTTGAGCATTTAAAGTTTCCCTCCAGGGAAGCTTTGTCACTTTAAGCAGCTAGCTCTTGTTTTCAGCTCTGGACATGATCTCACAGCTTGTGAGTTCAAGCCCCACGTTGGGGTCGGGTTCTGTGCTGATAGTGAGGAGCCTGCTTGGAATTCTCCCACTCTCTCTCTCTCTCTCTCTGCTCCTTCCCCACTCAAGCTAATTCATTCTCTTCCCCACACTCTCTTGAATGAATGAACGAATGAATGAATGAATGAATAAAGTTAAAAAAAAAACTTTTAATATTTTCCTACAAAACCGAGAGACAACAGGAGTATGTCTAAGGGCCAGTCTGGGCCAGCCATTCCCTTAGGGTCTTTCTAGCCCAAAAGTGCTCTGATAAAACAAAAGATGGTACTGTTGATTGACAGGAGCTAAAAACAAATGGGACATACTTTATTTAGTTCATGTGGCCCAAGGATCCATGCAGACAAGCAAACTTTAGGGGATGAACTTTTTCAGTATCCTCTTTTCTGAAGACAGTGATTCAATCGTGCATTTAGCCATGCCTCCCCTACTAGGGTTCTAGGGGCAGCATCAAAATTGGAGTTAGATTATTATTTGTCTAAAGTGCCTGAAAGTAAATTGAGCTGGGTTTTATTGATATATTCTGTGGACTTTCATCATGCAGGTATTATCTGATTGCTGAAACCAAGGGGGAAGAGACTATTGTTTATAGACACAAAGTGCTTAGATAGCAAAGCTGTTTGTGAAATGGTTTCCTTCAGTCAGCATTCTCATGGATAGATAGTTCTAGCTTAAGCCAATTTTCACAATCATCAATAATAACAAGTGAACTTTCTGCTCCCATGTAAGGGGTCTTTGTTGGGATTTGGAGTGGCAAACAGTTTCATTTCATGGGTCATCTCTGATGGGTTGGTGATAGCTGCCTGGAATGTTGTCCTGGGAAAGATTCCTGCCCTGCCTGGCCAGAGCTCAGTCGGCTAGTGCAGGTGTTGTGATATTACCCTCATCGGTCCTGAGTATGGTGCTGTATATTTGTCAATATCCTTATAGTCTCAAGTGACAGGAAACCAATCTCAGGCAGGAAAAATTATTGGCTCATGGAATCCAAGAGAAGGTATTAACAAGAGGGGGAATGGAGATGCTGATGGGTCTTTTGTCTTCCATATTCTGGTGAACTAAAACAAAGCTATTACTCTAACAAAGCTATCGCCTTCATTTTATGGAGGAAATTACTATTCCATGACCAATCTAGTGACCATCTCTTCCCAAGGCAGGTGGTGACCTGAGAATTCTGTGCCTGCTTCTTGACACCTGCACCACCATGCAGAGGCTGATGAGGCTCCAAGTCCTCTGGGGCATCCGCCAATCCTACAATGGCGTTCACCCTGCCCCTTGGTACCTTTGCTGCCGGTCTTTATCAAGAGCAGGAGCCCCAAGATGGAATGACCATGATAGACCTGAGGAATTTAACTTTGCAAGTGATGTCCTGGACTATTGGACTCAAAGGGAGCAGGTAAGGACGCACTCATGATGGGAGGTGAGAACAGGATTGGCCTTACTGACCTTATCATGATCTTAGTAGACTGAAGGGCAGAGAGACAATAATGGCTTCTGGCTCAGCTTAGCAGTGTTGCAGGAAAACCTTACATCTGGGGGTTCAATTCTCAGCCTAGTCACTTTCTCAGTCCTCTGAGCCTCAGTGGTTTTATCTATGAAATGGTGATAATCTCAGAGACAAGATAGCAGGTGAAAATATCTGGTACACAGTCATATAATTGTGACCAAAGTTTCTAATGACAAGTTCGACAAGTTGACCTTAGTTGGAATACTTTTTTTTAATTTTTTAAATGTTTTTTTAAATTTATTTCTGAGAGAGAAAGAGCCAGCATGAACAGGGGATGGTCAGAGAGAGAGAGGGACATACAGAATCTCAAACAGGCTCCAGACTCTGAGCTAGCTGTCAGCACAGAGCCTGACACGGGGCTCGAACCCACAAACTGTGAGATCATGACCTGAGCCGAAGTCATGCGCTCAACCAACAGAGCCACCCAGGTGCCCCAACCTTTGTTGGATTTCTTACCTTTAACTCATGAGACCATGAGCCTAACTGGAATTTGTATCATTACGCTTGGGCTTAACTTCAGGCTACACTCAGAGGGAAGGGACAGATCACTTGATTGTACACATGAGCATCTGACACATAGCTAGGTCATGTCATCTGTCATTCTGTGAGGATGGAATGTGCAGCTGGGTTCCTTCCATTCAACTACGTACTTGAGTGTAGCTTTAGGGTATGTCCAGAGAAAATTGCCCCCATGGCCTCTAGAGGTTACACGTGTCTACCCAAGTGCTCAGTTTATTTCTCTTCAAGAGACAGATCAAGAAAGGTGCAACAGGGACATTAGGAGTTGAGTAGACAGTTCATGGTGCCCCAGCTACTAAGTCCCAGCTGGTGATGTCCACAGTGGGGAAAACTCACCCAACACTGTCTGTGGACAGAATTTACCTGCGACACAGCCAGAGAGTTAATATAGTTTTTAAATTTCCCATGAGCCTGCATTTATATGTTAGTATTTAACTAAAGTGGGGGCTTCTCTCCATCACCTTCTTTGTCCTTTCTCTGAATTTCCATAATAATGCCAAGGGAGGGCATTTTTTAATATGCACTTTTTAAAATACACTTTGCATTTATTACTATGATTAGATGAACATTTCCATTATCCCCACTTTCTAGAAGATGGAACTGAGGTGCCAAGGGTTTAAATAACACACAGAAACCAGCACATACCTCAGAAGGGAAAGGACAGGATTTGGGTCCAGACTATCTGATTCTGCAATACATTATTTCACGTGGCCTCACAATTTGATGATACCAAACATCTCTTCCTTCAGACTCTAAACTGACTTTCATCACTGCCCTGACCAGTAATCTAGTTAAAGAACTTTTAAATCATAAGATGGGCTGGAGAGGGAAGAGGTAGAGAGCAAGAAGTGATGCCATCACTTTCCCCCAATTTATAACCCTCATAGTTAGTTCAAACATCAACCCGTGGAGACAACCCCCAAGTAAGTATGACCCCAGGGGTGCCGATCTTTGTTGTGTTTTATATCATCATTGTTGATCCTTTCCCATTTCTTCATATCTCCAAATTCTCCCCACCCCTAGCATCGTCATGCCAATATATTTATTCTCCCAACACTTCTCACCTGTATGTTTCCACTTTGCTAATTGCCTTGATCATGATCAGTGTCTCTCTGGTGATACATGGGGCCTGTCACCTAGCTGATGCTCAGTAAACACTGATGGAATAAAATGTTGAAACCTGCCTTACAAGCCCCACAGGGTTTGACATTGTTCCTATGAAAGACCCTCTAGAGGGTCCACTGTAGTCCACTCTGGCTTCCTGGACCTCCCTGTACAACTTAACAAGTACCATCCAAGAACTGATGCATGGCCTGAGCAGCAATGCCGCCCAAACCATAATAGAGTGATAGAATTTATTTTAACTCACATTTTAATACATTTTTTAATAAAATATAAGTTAGAAAGCTAATACTTTTATGTGAAATCTTCTGACAGTGTGTATGTGTGTTTATGTGTGTATGCATGAGTGTGTGTGGTGGTGGCAAATAATTGGTTATAAAACAATCATATTTAGATTTTTATGTTTATTTTTGAGAAAGCATGGACAGGGGAAGGGCGGGTGGGGTGGCAGAAGATCCCAAGTGGGGTCTCTACTGAAAACAGCAAGCCCAACGTAGGCCTTGAACTCATGAACAGTGAGATCATGACCTGAGTCAAAGTTGGACGCTCAAACAACTGAGCCACCCAGTGCCCCAGCAAAGAATTGGTTATAAAACAAAAGAAAGTAGTTGGTAAGCCGACAACTTATGTCCACAGGTGTAATAGAGGCCACCGGTTAGTAACCCCTGACTTTTCTTAGAAATTAAACCCTTTGTGACTCTAGGCTCCTAACATAGTATACACAGCTTCAATTGATTCCTAGAGCTCCTCCCAAATCTGTTCATGAGAGGTTGCATTCTGTCCAAATTCATTCATTCTGTCTCTCTGATACTATATCCATCCATCCATTCTTTCATTCATCTAAAGCTTAGTGAGCCCCTAACATGTGCCAATTACTATTCTAGATAATGGAGATAGGAAAGTAACCAAAATGTGCAACACTTCATTTTTCCTCTATAGATTGTGTGATTCCCCATTTCATGTCCTAGGATAGGTGAGTACAGTGTCAGAGACCTTACATTTTATTTGTTTTGGCAAAAATCATGACAAACAATTTCTTCCTACCAACCCTTGATCCAATTTTATATTAAACATTGCTCAATAAACATAGTCAAATAGATATTAATTGTCGTTGACTCTGGGTCTGGAGTTCTTTCTTGTCCAGCAAGAGAGTAGGTTGCAGGATTAAAAATGCAAGAGAGGCTAATGTCCAGGAGAAGACAAGAGTCCCGAATAAGGGTCCTTGTTCCATTTTTATTAGAATCAGAAGGCTGACAAATGTGGTGATGGGTGTGCAAAAAGAGACAATGAAATCGTGAACATTAACTCATGGGAATGAGGGAAAGGGGGTTTTGAAGGCAGACGTGAGGCCCCACCTCTGTTTACCTAAACTGGTCTAGGGGACAAGAAAGACAGAGCATGCTACCTCAGAGTCAACAAGGCACCTTTCTTTTGTTAATTGACTCCACTTTGGGCAACTTCATCCCAGAGCAGTCTATAGCCCTATTTACTCATTTACCACTTTGTTCCTTCCTCCCTATGAAAGCAGCTTTCTGATATAGTATTAAGTTGGGAGGCGCTTACGCCCTGAATACCTAATCTTGTTAACTCATCATGGATGTTTTCATCCTGAGAGTCCCTATTGCTATACCTTTGTGCTATCCTGGGGCCTTTGTCCCACTTTACCTATTCTGGGGCCTTTTCCCCCCAATTTACCTAATCTTATTTTCCTAATCCTGTTTACCCAAACTTGGATGTGTACATCCTATAGCCTTCTAATTCTTTATGCTTTGTTACCCCGTCAGCACAGGCTCAGGGAATTCCCAAGCTTATTCCCCACAATTAATCACAAAGCTTAAAAAAACAACCACCAATGGATGCCATTTCCCCACATTCCCTGGCTCTTTGTCCCATATTTGCCCAAATAGATTAGTTTATGTGCCGCCAAAATTTCCAAGTTCCTTAACATTAAACAGTCAGATCTGCTGAGATTTCTCTGAGTCAGAGACTTTGTCTTTTGTGGCTCCTGGTTTAATTCTGTAATTTAATGTAAGAAATTAATAACAGTCTAAGGACCTGTGCAGTTCAAAAGGGTCTTTAAGTTCCTTTCAAACTATTAGACTTTTGTCCCAGCATCCCATAAAGGAATCCTTCTTGATATTCACAAAAAGGGTATATTTTTTATAATTCTAATACACATGTAGGGTCTGTGTCACTAGAATGTAAGTTCCATGACTGGAGCTGAAATCAGATGCTTAACCACTTGAGCGACCCAGGCAGCCCTTTCTTAATATTTCTTATAGAGAAAGTTTAACTGTAACGACTTCCCTCAATTTTTGTTTATCTGAGAATAACCTAATTTCTCCCTCATTTCAAATGACAATTTTGCCAACTATAGAATTTCTTTTTTTCAAGTAATTAATTAAATTATTTTTTAATGTACATCTAAGTTAGCATAGAGTGCAACAATGATTTCAGGAACAGACTCCTTAATTCCCCTTACCTATTTAGCACCCTCCCACAACCCCTCCAACAACTCTTTGTTTGTTCTGTATGTTTAAGTCTCTTATGTTTTGTCCCCTTCCCTGTTATTATATTATTTTGCTTCCTTTCCCTTATGTTCCTTTGTACCTTAAAGTCCTCATATGAGTGAATTCATATGATATTTGTCTTTGTCTGACTGACTAATTTCACTTAGCATAATACCCTCTAGTTCTATCCATGTAGTTGCAAATGGCACAATTTCATTCTTTTTGAATGCTGAGTAATACCCCGTTGTATATATACACCACATTTCTTTATCCATTCATCCATCGATGGACATTTGGGCTCTTTCCATACTTTGGCTATTGTTGATAGCACTGCTATAAACATTGGGGTGCATGTGCCCCTCTGAAACAGCATACCTGTCTCTCTTTGTTAAATACCTAATAGTGCAACTCCTGGGTCATAGTGTACTTCTATATTTGATTTTTTGTGGAACTTCTATACTATTTTCCAGAGTGGTTACACCAGTTTGCATTCCCACCAGCAGTACAAAAGAGATCTTTCTCTACATCCCCACCCACATCTGTAGTTGCCTGAGTTGTTAATGTTTGCCTATCTATTCTGACAGGTGTGAGGTGGTATCTCATTGTGGTTTTTATTTGTATTTCCCTGATGGTGAGTGATGTTGAACACTTTTTCATGTGTCAGTTGGCCATCTGGATGTCTTCTTTGGAGAAGTGTCTATACATGTCCTTTTTCCATTTCTTCAGTGGATTATTCGTATTTTGGGATTGAGTTTGATAAGTTCTCTATAGATTTTGGATACTACCCCTTTATTTGATATGTCGTTTGCATATGTCTTCTCCCATTCTATCTGGTGCCTTTTAGTTTTGCTAATTGTTTCCTTCGCTGTGCAGAAGCTTTTTATTTTGGTGAGGTCCAAATAGTTCATTTTTGTTTTTCTTTCCCTTGCCTCTGGAGACATGTTGAGTAAGAAGCTGCTGCAGCCGAGGTCAAAGAGGTTCTTGCCTCCTCAAGGATTTTGATGGCTTCCTGTCTTACATTTAGGTCTTTCATTAATTTTGAGTTTAGTTTTGTGTATGGTGTTAGGAGGAACTTGACGGAGGAACAAGGGGGAGAAGAAGGGGGGAAATGGTGGGGGAAAGGGAGAGAGGCAAACCATGAGAGACTCTTGAATGCTGACAAAAACTGAGGACTGATGGATGTGGGGGGGAGGGGGGGATGGGTATGGAGGAGGACACTTGTGGGGATGAGCACTGAGTGTTATGTGGAAACTAATTTGACAATAAACTATTTGTAAAAAAAATTAAATTAAATTAAATTTTTAAAAAAAGAGTGTAGTCCAAGTTCATTTTTCTGCATGTCACTGCCCAGTCTTCCCAGCACCATTTGCTGAAGAGACTGTCTTTATTCCATTGAATATTCTTTCCTGCTTTGTCAAAGACTAATGACCATATGCTTGTGGGTCCATTTATGGGTTTTCTATTCTGTTTCTTTGGTCTGAGTATCTGTTTTTGTTCCAGTACCGTACTGTCTTTATGATTACAGCTTTGTAATACATCTTTAAATCTGGGATTGTGACATCTCCAGCTTTGGTTTTCTTTTTCAATATTGCTTTGGCTATTCAGGGTGTTTTCTAGTTCCATTCAAAGTTTAGAATTGTTTGTTGTAGCTCTGTGAAGAATGCTGGTGCTATTTTGATAGCGAATGAGAAATGTAGAAATTCTTGATTGACAGCTTTTTACCCATCAATTCAAATATGAAATCCTACTGTCTCCTGGCCTACCAACCACTAATAATATTAGTAAGTACTCCTTATGTATGATGAGTCACTTTTCTTTTGCTGCTTTCAAGTTTTTGTCCTTGGCTTCTTCGTTTGATTGTGTGATTCTGTGTGGATCTCTTTGGGTTTTCTTTCTTTTGTAATTTTTTTTTATTTTAATATTTTTTGAATAGTTTATTGTCAAGTTGGTTTCCATATAACACCCAGTGCTCATTCCTACAAGTGCCCTCCTCCATGCCCATCTCCCCCCTTTACCTCTCCCCATACACCCATCAGTCCTCAGTTTGTTCTCAGCACTCAAGAGTCTTTCATGGTTTGCCTCCCTGCTTCTCCCCCAACATTTCCCCCCTTATTCTCCCCCACGATTTTCCGTTAAATTCCTCCTAACTCTCCTATACATGCAAACATATGGTAGCTGTCCTTCTCTGTCTGACTTATTTCACTCAGCATAACACCCTCAAGGTTCGTTTGCTACACATGGCCAGATTTCATTTTTTCTCATTGCCATGTAATATTCCATGGTACAGATAAACCATATCTTCTTGATCCATTCGTCCATTAATGGACACTTAAGCTCTTTCTATCTTTTGGCTATTGTTGAGAGTGCTGCTATGAACATTGGGGTACATGTGCTCCTATGCATCAACACTCCTGATTCCCTTGGGTAAATTCCTAAGAGTGCTATTGCTGGGTCATAGGGGAGTTCTAGTGTTAATTTTTTGAGGAACCTCCACACTGTTTTCTAGAGAGGCTGCATCAGTTTACATTCCCATCAACAGTGTAGGGGGGTGCCCATTTCTCCACATCCACGCCAGCATCTAGAGTCCTCTGATTTGCTCATTTTAGCCACTCTGACTGGTTTGAGGTTGTATCTCAGTGTGGTTTTGATTTGTATTTCCCTGATGAGGAGGGATGCTGAGCATCGTTTCATGTGTCTGTTGGCCATCTGGACGTCCTCTTTGGAGAAGTGTCTGTTCATACCTTCTGCCTATTTCTTCAGTGGGTTGTTTGTTTCTCAGGTGTGGAATTTGGTGAGCTTTTTATGGATTTTGGATATTAACCCTTTATCTGATATGTCATTTGCAACTATCTTTTCCCATTCTGTCAGTTGCCTATTACTTTTATGGATTGTTCCCTTTGCCGTGCAGAAACTTTTAATCTTGATAAGATCCCAATGGTTCATTTTTGCTCTTGATTCCCTTGCTTTTGGGGATGTGTCAAGTAAGAAATTGCTGTGGTTGAGGCCAAGGAGATTGTTTCTGGCTTTGTCCTCTACGGCTTTGTGGTTTCCTGTCTCACATTCAGGTATTTCATCCATTTTGAGTTTATTTTTTTATATGGTGTGAGAAAATGATCTAATTTCATTCTTCTGCACGTTGCTGTCCAGTTCTCCCAGCACCATCTGTTAAAGAGGCTGTCTTTTTTCCATTGGATACTCTTCCCTGCTTTGTCAAAGATTAGTTGGCCTTATACTTTTGGGTCCAATCTGAGTTCTCAATTCTATTCCATTGGTCTATGTGTCTGTTTTTGTGCCAATATCATACTGTCTTGATGATGACAGCTTTGTAGTAGAGGCTCATGTCTGGGATGGTGATACCTCCCGTTTTGGTTTTCTTCTTCAATATTACTTTGGACATTCGGGGTCTTTTGTGGTTCCATACAAATTTGAGGATAATTTGTTCTAGTTTTGAGAAGTATGCTGGTGCAATTTTGATTGGGATTGCATTGAATGTGTAGATTGCTTTGGTAGTAATGACATTTTAACTATATTTATTCTTCTCTCTTTGGGTTTTCTTACTTGGAATTCATTGAGCCTCTTGTATTTGAACATCTATATATTGAATGAGTGGATGAATAAATAAATGCTACTATATACGTTTATATTCAGTACAAATATAGTTTTGCTTTTTTTCAGCTATTATTTCTTCAAGTAAGCTTATGGCTCCTTTCTCTCTCTTCTTCTTCCAGGAGTCCCATAATATGTATATTGGTCTGCTTCTTTCTATACTGTGTGTCATGGGCTCTGTATACTTTCCTTACTGGTTTTTTTTTTTTTTTTTTTTTTTGCTTCTCAGACTCCATAATCAGCCTAACTACAAGAAAGTAGTCCTTCTTGTAAAGTTTTCAATTCAGTGATTGTATTTTCCAGATCCACAATATCTCTTTGGTTCTCTTTTATAATTTCTTTCTCTTTGTTGATATTCTCAGTATGTCCATATACTGTTTTTCTGATTTCCTTTGGCTCCTTGTCTGTTTTCCTTAGCAATTTCACCATACTTAAGAGAATCATTTTAACTTCTCTGTCTACTAACTGAAACCTGTGTTTCTTTAGGTTAAGTTTATGGAGATTTGTTTTATTCCTTTGAATGGGCAACATGACCTTGTGATCTGTTGTTGAACATTGGACATTTGATAAAAGCAGCCATCTCTGTCTGTCATTACAGCCTGACTCCATGCAGAGAAAGGCCTCCAGTAATCTGACCACTGTGAAAACTTAAGACTTCTCAGGTCTTCAGGTCTCAGGCATGTGTCTTTCCTAGGCCTGTGCATGTGCTTTTTTCCCCTTAAATTTCCCGTATGTGATACTGCTTTTACATGTTTTAATTTCATTACAAGTCTCAAATCTGCTTCTTCTTGGGGCTCTAATATTTTAGTGTCTTCCTCTGCCTGTAGTCTCCCTTCACGGTGGCCACAGTTCTACAGTTTCCACTCAATGTGGCATCTGCCACTGCTTTCAGCCACCTCCAGTCTGATATTCAAACTATGTCACCATTCCTATCTGAGCTCTGAGTGAGATGAGGCAGAAATCATTCCCTCAGGCTGCCTCCAGACAAGCCAGAATACTGAAACAAATTCCAAGGGAGGGGCTGAGAATTGGGTGGCTTCCTTCTGACCATACTACATAACACCAGAGAAGGGATGGGACAAAGGTAAGTAGCAAAAACAACATAAAATTGCTTACTATTTAGAGTATGAGTTTTTTATTGTTTGGGCGTTCATTGGTTGCTGCAGTTCCTTGACTGTTTCTACAGTTCCTACACAACTTTTTTAGTCTGTTGATGACTTGATGTTTCTGTGAGGAAACGCTGATTACCTTGGAGCTTCCAGGTCTGCCTTCTTGCTTATTTTGCCTCCAGATGTACCTTAATTTTAAAAATAAATTCCCCAAATATTCAGGAATTAAATTAGTCTTTTGTTTTGTTGTAACGAGAATAATAAGGATAGTAATTTATTTTAATGTTCATTTGTGAGAGAGATCGAGAGACAACAGTGAGAGAGACAGACAGAGACAGAGACAGAGAGATCAAGTGGGTGAGGGGCACAGAGAGAGGGAAGCAGAGGATCTATAGCAGCCATCCTTCTATGCTGACAGCAGTGAGCCCAATGCAGGGCTCGAACTTATGAACCATGAGATCACGACCTGTGCTGAAGTCGAGCACTCAACAGACTGAGCCACCCAGGTGCCCCAATAATGGTACTAATTTCATTGACTACCTACCATGTGTCCAGGCACTATCATATACACTTTATCTCTTTTAATAACTAATTTAAACGTTACTACTTTCTAGGTAGTATTGTACCCATTTCATAGATGAGAAATGTACCCATTTTATACATGATAAACATGTGGCACAGAGGGGAACATAGTGTCCATATGAAACTAAGAGAGACACATGGGGGGATGAAATATTAAGGCTTTAACAGGTGACATGGAGCTATTCATGGTTTGATGTGACTTTAAGGGAGGTGGCTACAGTAGACCAGAAGAAATTGGCTGGATCATACCCTATCCATTTCTTTTGGTTCTATAAATGCCTTAAAAATGGGTCTCAGTTCTTAAGCTACATTTTCATGTCACTATGGTAGTGATTGGGCAAGTAAGTACCCTTTTCTTCTAACCTAGGAAGTAACACATGGTGTTTGATCTTGACCAGGAGGGAAAGAGAGGTTCAAACCCAGCTCTGTGGTGGGTGAATAACCAAGGGGACGAAGTGAAGTGGAGCTTCGGAGAGATGACAGACTTATCCCAACGTGCTGCCAATGTCTTCACCCAGACCTGTGGTTTGCAACACGGAGACCGTCTAGCCTTGATCCTGCCTCGAGTGCCTGAGTGGTGGCTGGTGGTCATAGGCTGCATCCGAGCAGGTAACTCAAAGAGATCTCAACATACTTTAGGTCTGGCCTAGAGTCTCTGGGTCCTGAAATATTAATATTTCCCGAACTTTTTTTCTTATCCTTCATATCCTTTCTCTTTCACAGACCCCTTTCAATATTCTTTTACTCCTTCATATTCTCTCCTTCATACTCTCTCCTTCATACTTATATACCCTTAAACACAATGTCATAACTCTCTAATTCACACACACACACACACACACACACACACACACTTTCTCTTGCAAACTCATTTTTTGTTTTTAAAAATCCATCTATTGCTAACATTATGCCCCCGTCCCACACTGACTCATTTAACTATCAGTTGCAGACATTGTGACATCCATAAACACCAGATAAACACCCATAAACCCTGGAGCATGCATCTGCTATGATCCATGACATTCTCCTCACATAACCAGAACAGAGTTATCACACAAGAAGTCTAACTTTGGTATAATATACATCCATAGCAATAGCCAAAATTCTTTAATTGTCCCAACAGTGTCTTTTGTAGCATTTTTTGTTGTTGTTGTTAAAATCCAAAATCCGATAGAGGATCATGCATTGCATTGTGTTGTCAGGTCTCGTCAGTCTCCGTTAATCTAGGCTTTTCTGCATGACAACATCTTGGAAACGTCTAAGCCAGTTGTTTTGCAGAAGGTCCTACAAAATTTGTATTGCTGACTCATTCTTCAGGATTATAATCCGATAACCATTTTTAGTAGGAGCTCTAGAAGGACAACGTGCCTATCTCAGTGCTCTACATCAGGAGATACGTGAAGTTGGTTTCTCCTATCATTGGTGATATTATTGACAAATACTTTGCCTGAGAAGGCACTGTTTCCCTTTGTAATTAGTAAGTAACCTGTGCTGTAATACTTATGAGACTGTGTGAATATTCTGTCCCCCAACTGTCTTTCTCCCTATGTCTTGAAAATCCATTGATGATTCTTGATTGAATTGGATATTATTATGGTGGTTTTATATGAGAATTTTCTAATTATGTTATTCCCTCTACACTTATTAATTAGTATTCTTCTGTAGAGACTTCCATTCCCCTTTTAATTTCCTATCTATTTATCTATATAATTTAGAATTGGTGTGGGACTCCTGAATTCTTTTTTTAATTGCTTTATAATGCATATATTTCCACACAAATAAAATACTACATTAATCCATCAAGGTCATGTGGAATCAGGAATTAGCAGCAACAACAGAGAGAGTATAGAGAAGCCATGTCATCTGTAGAGCTAAGAGATGGCACATGGGAAATCCAAGATATGAACTGAGCCCTCTGGGATAGGTAGAATAAAAGAAAAATAGAAGCAAAGGAAGGGAATTCCAACAATGGGCATAGCACATGCAAAGACTTAGAGTCAGGAGAAGCCTGTGTGGAGAATAGCCATATTGAAATAGGGAATAGATTTGTAAGAATAAAAGGTGGAAGGTGGACAGTGCCTTCAGTGTTTGGTGGATAGTATGATGCTTTCCTGGAGAGAGGGCACAGGTGCTGGTGAAGAGTAGAAAAGTGGAGGGGGGAAAGTCAGTGTTCTGTGGAACCTGAACAAGTAAAGTATGGAAGATGGGTAGTAGCAAGGTTCAGGACAAGGCATCTGGTGGAGAGATTAGAACCCAATAGGGGCACACAAATACTTGAACTCTTGGAGATGGAAGATGGAAGGGAATGTAGAAAAGTTAAGAAGATAATGTACTTAAATTTGGATGTGAAGAGTGAAGAAAAGAGAGGAGATTCAAGTTGACACAACTGTCTGAAAGTGGAGGAAGTGAGAGGAGAAAAATGGAGGCAGGGATACAGGTAATCCTAGTGTCAAAAATACTGTCCTACTTACGTTCATAGTTCCAGATCTCATGTAAAGCAGGATACACCTGTCTACTGCTTTGATCCATCTAGCATAGAAGAGGTTAGGCCAGGCTTTTGAAATTTTAGTGTGCATAGGAAACCCTTGGAGAGCTTCTTAAAGTGCAAATTCTGGTTCAGTAGGATTGGGATGGGGTATGAGATTTTTGTGTCCTGGGTGGTGCTGATGGTACTGGCCCATGGATCATACTTTGTACAGTGAGAAGCTAGCAGATTTCTATGCAGATAAGCCAGGCCTGAAACCCAAAAGTTCCTTTTTTATCCCCAGGTATAATCTTCATCCCAGGAACCACTCAGATGAAGGCCAAGGACATTCTCTACCGGTTACAAATGTCTAAAGCCAAAGGCATTGTGACCATAGATACCTTTGCCGCAGAGGTGGACTCTCTAGTTTCAGAGTGTCCTGCTCTGAAAACAAAGCTCCTGGTGTCTGACCATAGCCGTCAAGGGTGGCTGGACTTCCGATCCCTGATTAAGTGAGTTTCTGATCTGATGAATGTGTTTTCTAAGGAAGGGCAGGAGAAGCCCATTCATTCCCAAGTACTGCATTTTCCCCCTGCTTTAAATGAGGAAATGTTAGTCTACTTATCCAAGTCTCTCACAAATTCCTTTTGATTTCTAATATTAGAAGAACTGTTTTTTCCTCCAGTGTTGTAAAGCTCTATTTTTCTGACTCCAGCCCCTCACACTGGATCCCCAGGGATCCAAAAGAAGGAAATATGACTTCTCTCCTTTTGTACTGAATCCCTTTGCAGATCAGCATCCCCAGATCACACCTGTATTAAGTCAAAGACGCTGGACCCAATGGCCATCTTCTTCACCAGTGGGACAACAGGCCTTCCCAAGATGGCAAAACATAGTCATGGACTTGCCTTGCGATCCTCTTTGCTTTCATGGTAGGAAAGAAGGCATTGACTTAGATGCTGGGCCACACGCCTGGGGTGGTATGTGCATGTGTGTGTGCATGTGTGTGAGCACACATGTGGGTTGGGAAAAGAGCTGTACGTAGAATTGACTCACCCTGTTTCTTCTGTCTGGGCTCATTGGTTCAGACTCCTGAGAGTCTTGACAGGTAGACACTGGGAATCCTAATGGTTTGCTAACAGAGGCCTCTGGAGACCAAGGAGGCCCATTTAGGTCCTGCCTGAGCACCTTTATAAGAGGTGTGTAAGAAGTGTGGGTGGAGACCGCAAGCATTCAGCAAACCACAAAAATGACAAGCCATTGTGTCCCTGTCAATTGACTCAGGGTTTGGTGGCAAAAGACAGAATGTTTTAACAATGTCACCTGAAGTGACCGGTCCTTTCCATTTCCCAATTATGAACAAATGAAACGTGGAGTTACTTAGTCATGAGCTCTTGGGAAAAAGGGTAATGGAACCAAGCAACAACATGCCACTGCCCCTAATCTAGAAAATCAGTCATAGAGGCTTAAGCTGTAGCCTTGGGTTAATCATTTAATCCATTTTAAACCGAGCCTCTTCTTCTCTCTGTCCATACTCCAGATAAAAATATTCAGACCAGAAGAAGTTCCATATATTTTCTAACTTATTAACCAGACCAGAGGTCAGAGAAGACTTTTTTTTTTGTTGACAGTGCAGCATTATGTGCAGATGCAGCGTTATGCAATGATAGCAGTTGACTAGCAAAACCCTGGAAGAATGGGGGTGGAAAGAAGGCAAGGGCTTTCTGTGCAGTCTGAATGACAAGAGCAGAGGCACAAAGATATTAAAATTGGCATTATAAACTACAGAGACTTTGGGATATCTCGTGCTCAGCCTATGTGATAAGGGGCATATGGAAGGAGTTGGGAACCAGTGAGCAGGGCCCAGGATCTAGTGGCCTTGGTATACAGTTTAGAGTCTTAGAAAATGACGAGGAGATTTTGGAGCAAAGGGATGTATTTCAGCTAGGGAAAGCCCTAATCAGATTTGTGTTTTTAGAAGATTACTGTGGCTGCAAGATGAAGGGAGTCAGGAGAGATTAGGATCGGTTCGAGGTGCCTGAGGGACACTGCAGAAGAGATGTTCAGTGGGTAGTTGGGTGTGAAGCTGAGAAGACAGGTCTTCCTAGCTAGTAATATTCTGTGGGTGAGCCACAATCCTAAGGTGAGGGAGGGTGAATTGTTTATCCAAGCCCTTCCCTGCTAATAGAAAAACTCCTCAGAGCCTTAGTCTGCTAATAGGAGGATTGTGTTTTCTCAAGGAGTTACACACAGACGTCCCCCAGGAACAGTTAGATAGGATAGAGAAATGAGAAACCTTTCCCACCCTGCTTTTCGTTTAATGCCCTAGTGGATAATTGTTTCCAGTCCTTTACCAAATGTGATATTAACTAGTGTTCTCTCTCTCTCTCCCTCCATCCCTCTCTCTCTTTCTCTTTATCTTTCTCCATCACAAATGACAGAAAGCCAAATCTAACCCTCTTTAGGCCTAAGAGTGAAAAAAGGAATTTTTTGATCATGAGGGAGGCATCCAGGGTTTGGCTTCAGACATAGCTAGAGTCTCTGGGTCAGGTTTTCAACTCTCCATCTGCTGTGTTTTGATGCACTTCTCAGAAAGGCTTATCCCTTGTTAACCCCAAATGGCTGCCAGCATTTCCTAGGAATGTATAAGTAACAGAGTCAATTCCCAGCCTTAAGGATCATTATAACTAAACCAGTTGAAATCACACATGACCAGAAAATAGGATTTGGCATGTTTTAGGGACCTGGGGTGGGAGTGTGTCTGGATCCCACTCAAACCACATGCACTGAGAATGAGAGGTGGGTCTGCCCTGAAAGTCAGAGTCCCTAGCCCTCAATCGATCATATCCTCTCATGATCACCTAGCTGAGGCCACTTTGTTTTGGAGTTAGCAGGCAATTAATGCAACTGAAGACATCTGATGTCCTCTGGTGCTTTTCGGACCCAGGCTGGATTATGGCTTCCGTGGGGTGCCTGTTTGAACCATGGACAGCAGGGTCTACACTCTTCATCCATCATCTGTCTCAGTTTGACCCTAAGGTCATTCTACAGGTAAGAAGATAAACCTTCCAGTACCAACAAACTCCTAGAAGACACTCATGTTTCAAACTCAAAAACTGGACCTGCTGAGAAATATTTTATTTAGCAAAAAGTCTTATTAGCATAATATAACCCTGGTTCAGGGTTTCTCAAAGTGTGGAGCACTGAGTTAGTTACTGTATGAGAATCACGTTAGATGAAACCTTGAAGAAAATGCATATTCCAAGCCCTCCTTCAGCCCTATGAAACAGACTTCCTGGGCTTGGGACCCTGAATAAACATTTTAAGAGATTAAACCAATGAGAGCAAGCCAGGTCTCCTGGATTCTGGATCCTGGATCTGCCAGAGCCAGGTGGCTGGTGTGTGTGTGTGTGTGTGTGTGTGTGTGTGTGTGTGTGTTGTTCTTATTATTGTTGCTCATTTCAATAAACTGTTTAAAACAGTGCCCTTAGAAAATGACAAATAGGGCTTCTTATTCCATGTTTCACATTTATTTGTGGTTTACTTGTACTCTGAGCCTCAGTGTCCTCCCCTGTGAAATGGAAGTTTTAATAATTCCTATGTCACAAAATTGTTGAAATATAAATAGGTTAGTACAGGAGAAGTGGGTGAAGTGCTTATCCCTGAGTTGGCACAAGGGAGGCACCCAGGAAGCAGTGGTGGAAGCTGGTATTGTTAGGTATCTCATGGTAATAACTCAAGGCACCCATGTGAACCCTCTCGCTATACTTCCATTCATCTGAAAATGCTCTTTGCATCTCCACACACACCTTTGCTTTCCATCTCACAGGTACACCTGCCCCTCCACCTCTCAAAGTCCAGTCCCCACTCCCCTACCTCAGCCCCTGCAAGTTCTGTTCTTTACTCTGTCCTTCAGTTAAGAGCCCTTCTCATTTTCTTCCATCAATTAAAACGTTTCTTCTGTATTTTCAACCTTTCACTTTCTCCCTCTCCATTAATCTTTTATCCTTTAAATGTTTTCTCCTGTGTTTTCAACCTCTTCCACTTCATTAACTGTATTCCCCCTTAGTCCATTAACATATTCAACGTTCCTCATCCTAAAAAATACCTTCACCTTACCCTGGTACACACCGAACCAACCGAGTCTTTCCTCCCTTAATATCAAATTTCTCTATAGAACATTCTCCACTTGCTGCAGACACATCCTCTTCACCCTCCTTACCGCTGAACACTGTAGTCCTCCAACAGTCTGTCCTCACCGTTCTTCTTCCTTGTAAACAGTCTCCTCTACTTCCATTTCACCAGCATGGGCATCCAGTCAAAGATTCTCAAAAGTGTACCTTCGGTCTAGTCTCCCTCAATGCAAATTCCCCTTTGTTTATCTACCCCAAGTCCGTCTGATGATGCCTTCAGCACATCAGACATTTCCCATTTCTCATTCCCCACCTCATGTCAATATCATTGTTCACTGCTCACATCATGCCAGTCCCTGAGGCTTAAAGCTGCACAAAGAACGCCAAATCCATCTTTCCCCTCCCCCCTCCACTAAGTACATGGGTGTCTCCAAAGTGTCAGTATATTTTAAGCTAAATTATTTTAAATTACTAATTATACAAATTTACACACATACACAAATACACACAGATCAGCATTTGAAAGTTTAAATATTTTTATTTATTTTTTACTTGTGGGGTGCCTGGGTGGCTCAATCAGTTCAGAGTCCTACACTTAATCTCAGCTCAGGTCTTGATCTCAGGGTTGTGAGTTCAAGCCCCACATTGGGCTCCGTACTGGGAGTGAAACATACTTAAAAAAAATTAGCACAAGACATGAGCAGACATTTCTCTAAAGAAGAAATCCAGATGGCCAACAGACACGTGAAAAGATGCTCAATATCACTCCTCATCAGGGAAATAGAAATGAAACCACAACGAGATATAACCCCACATCTGTCAGTATGCTAAAATAAAGAAGACAACAAACAACTTTGGTGACGATGTGGGAAAAAAGCAAACATAATGCGCTGTTTCGCAGGAGTGCAAGCTGGTGCAGCCACGATGGAAAACAGTATGAGATTCCTCAAAAAATTAAAAATAGAATTACCACATGACTCAGTAATTGTACTACTGAGTATCTACACAAATAATACAAAAATACTATTTCCAAAAGATATATACACTGCTATTTTTATTTCAGCATTATTTGCAATAGCCAAATTATGGAAGCAGATCAAGTGTTTGTCCACAGATGAATGGATAAAGATGTGGTATATGCATACATATATGCATATACCTATACATATAGACATATATGTGTAATGGAATATTACTCAGCCATAAAAAATAATGAAATCTTGCCATTTTCAACAACTTGGATGGATCTACAAGGTATAATGCTAAATCAGTCAGAGAAAGACAAATACCATATGATTTTGCTCATACGGAATTTAGGAAACAAAAGAAACAAAAAAAAGCAAGAGAGAAACCCCAAAGGAGACTCTTAACTGTATAGACAAACTGATGGTTACCACAGGGGACGTGGGGGGATGGGTGGAATAGGTGAAGGGGATTAAGAATACACTTAACACGATGAGCAATGAGTCATACGTAGAATTGTTGAATCACCATATTGTAAATCCGAAACTAATATAACACTGTATATAAATTACAGTGGAAAGAAAGGGAGGAAGGAAGGAAGGAAGGAAGGAAGGAAGGAAGGAAGGAAGGAAGGAAGGAAATTGATTCGACTCAGAAAGACAGGGACAGGGACATCTAGGTGGTTCAGTCACTTGAGTGACCGGCTCTTGATTTTGGCTCAGGTCATCCCAGGGTTCTTGGATCAAGCCCTATGTGAGTCTCCAAATTTAGCATAGAAGCTGCTTGAGGCTCTCTCTCTCTCTCTTTCTCTCTCAAATAAAAATTTAAAAAGAGAGACTGAGAGAGGAGGCAGATTTCCCCATATGCCCATTACTCCTCCCTGTGGTTCTGTATGGAAGCTATAGATACTCCCATTCTACAGACGAGGGAACAGAATTGCAGAGGAATCAAATAACAGGATTGAAGTCAGGCAGGCAGACCCCAAACCCACATTCTCCCCTCTTGAGTGTTCCTTGCTCTCCCAGGGTATCTCCAGCCTGATCCTAAGCTGAAAGACTCCCACCTCTAGCAAAACAAGGGTGAATACCAGACATTTTAAACTATCTGATTTCCAACTGACCTCAATCTTTCTGAATTTACTTCTTAACTTCTCCTGTCTAAATCTAACCTCAGTCTTCCTAAAGTTACTTCTTGTTCCTCTCCTGCCTAAATAAACCATATTTTGACTATACTTCAATGTTTCTTCAACTCCGGAGACTTTGCTCCTCTTACCCCTTCTATCTGCAAGAACCTCCTCTATTCCTCTGCCTGTGGAGACCAGATCCATTTGTTAAATACCCCAGCTAGATAAATGCCACCTGTTCCATGAGGCCTCTGGATCATCCAATCAGAAGGAGTATTTCCCTCTGCTAAGTTCTTCTTCCGGTCTCTCCTATGAGACTCTGTGAGAGAAATCTCCCAGTTCCTGCCTTACCAGTTGAGTCCTGTTTTATCTCCTGTATTAATACACACTCCCAGTTGCGATGTTGTCTAACTCTTCTTGCATTTCCCCCATCAGTGCCTGATCCATGTCACACAGAAAATCCATGCTCGATATAGGCATATTGAAAGAACTAACAAATGAATAGGGCTCTCCTACAAGGGGGATCAGAATTAAAATGGTAATAATTGATATTTTAAATCTTTACTACAAGAATAAAATTCTTCTTTCCTCACTTTCTAGACATTGTGCAAATACCCCATCACCCAGTGCCTTGCTGCTCCAGCTGTGTATCGAATGGTTCTACAGCAGATTTCTACCAGGTATGGTAGAAGTGGTGGGAGCTGGTCATAACAATCTTTGGGTAGGAATGTAAGGAATCCAGTGTACTGTGGTCTGACTTTTTTTTTTTTTATAAATTTATTTTTTTTAATATTTTTATTTATTTCTAGGAGAGAGAGAGAGAGAGAGAGACAGCGTGAGCAGGGAAGGGTCAGAGAGAGAGGGAGATACAGACTCTGAAACAGGCTCCAGGCTCTGAGCTGGCAGTCAGCACAGAGCCCGACGCGGGGCTCGAACCCACAAACCGCGAGATCATGACCTAAGTGAAAGTCGGACGCTTAACCGACTAAGCCACCCAGGCGCCCCTGGTCTGACTTTTTAACTGTGGTTCTTTGAGGGGTGTGTGGGTGTGGTAGTGGTAAATTAAGTGTTGGTGGTGATAACTATCATTAATCAGCCTAATTAATTAATTAAAGTGGGACTCAGAGATCCAAATGAAATGCTCAGTGGGCCATGCATTATTGTAGGTTTATTATTTTGTGAATATTTTTCTTAGGAAAGGACAGAGATACAGAAAAAGACATAACACATAAATGTATAGACTAATAAATTGTTGAAAATAAAACACCTATGTCACCACTCACATGAGTTACAAAAATAGAACATTGCCAACCACCCAGAAATACCTGCATGGCTCTCTATCTTCCCAAAAGGAACTCATATTTGACTTTTATGGGGTTAATATCCTTATTTTCCCTTATAGAAACCCTCCTAAGTAACTCTCAGCAAATTATTATATTTTACTTACCTTTGAACTTTGCATATAATCATACATTATTCCATAATATCTGGCTTGCTTTTTCAACTTCTGTTTTTTGGATGTGTCTATGTTGCTATATATTGCTATAGTCCATTTTCATTGCTGTGTAATACCCCATTGTATTAAAATATTGCATATTTTTTATCAGTTCTACCATTAATGGACACTTATGTAGTTTTTATTTTGGGGTTATTGATGACTAATGCTAGGTTGACTACTTTTACATGTACCCTGGTGCATATAAGCATGCATTTCTGTACCATTTTCCTGGAAGAGGAATTGCTAGTTCACTCTAACACTACATTCTACCACCCGGTTTTCCAAAATGCTGAACCAATCTATGCTCCCACTAGCAAGGTAGAATTCCCATTATTCCATAACATTGGGAGTATTTTTTTGGTCAGAGTTTTTAATTTCTGTCCATCTGATGGATATATAGTGTTCTCTTACTATAGTTTTGTTTTTGCATTTTCCCATGTTTGTGAGCTCATCTTAGCTCAACTGGAATCTGCTCTTTGAAACATATGGACATTTACTAATCTTTTAAAGACTCTGAAATTAAGATGATTCCTCCAAAATTCAGAGTAAGATGTTTTAAATATAGACTTAAAATATTAAGGTATTTAATGACTATCTTTATGAATCTAAGTTTGAAACACAACTTGATTTTTTTCATGAAGCCTCATGCTAGTTGGACTCCATTTGTGTTTCACAGTTCAGAAGAAGCAACTTTTTGAAGTATTCCTCAGATGAGTATCTTTGTCCAAATCCAATAACTCCCCCAAGTCATAACTAATGACTGTATCAGACTCTGCCCATGTGATCTATTTGGAATAAAGTTGCAGAAGAATGAAGAAGACACTTCAGTAAAACCACCTTCTTGTCCATCTCCCCCAACTCTGTATGTACCCAGGGCGGGATGAAGAGGATGAAAAGGTGGACTAGATGGCTGCTGCCTCTCTGATCCTCAAGAGCTAACCTGGCTCAGCCCCTGGCCAGCTGGTACTCAGATCTCAATCGCTTCTCCCCATGCCTTTCAGGGAATCCATCATTACTTTGTGGCTGTTTTGTCTTATTTATGGAAAATTTTATGAGGAAAATGAAAGAGGACTTATGTCACGAATGGACCTACTAGAAACATTCACAGCCAATGTTTCTGCTCTGTCTGAAATTCCTTCTCTCAGGGCTGTTACCTACACCCCTTCTCTCTTTTCCTACATTCATCCTGGTCTTCCTTGAGGTCCTGAGCAATTCATTTCCACCCCTTCACTTGGATTTTCTGCTCAGAAATACAAAACTCCTTCAGTTCACGTGTCCCCACTCTTCATAGAAGGGAGTTTATCCTCACATGCTTCTGGGGGTCTTATCACCCACTCATTATCCTTTATAAAATGTCCATCCACCTAGGATGTTAAGGCAGTGTCTGATAAATATGTGTTTGGCATCTCTTTACATCAACTTCCACATTTGATTCAAACCTTTAATCAAATCCATTAGCCTCACCAGCACCACCCACCCCTTGCCAGAAGAGTTGACATGAACCAACAGGAAATGAGTGACTTCCCCTTGTCTTTGACCTCCAGTAAATTGCCCTAAAGGCAAATAAGAACACGAGAAAGCAAAAGGATAAATGATCCAGATGACAAGGCTATGAGTGAGCTCTTAACACTCTGGGCCTGGGGTAGAGCATCCGAGACCTGACTGCAAGCTCTGTTGATACGTTGCCTTCCCCTAGTCTCAGGTTTCCTGCCCTGGAGCACTGCGCTACTGGTGGGGAGGCTCTGCTGCCAGAGGAACAAGAGGAGTGGAGAAGACGCACGGGCCTTCTGCTCTACCAGGTCTACGGACAGTCAGAAACAGTAAGTAGACAGTCCTTTCTGGGCCCATCAGTGTGTGCTTAGCCACGGAGCCCGCATGTGTGTGCAGAGGCCCCACCCTGTTCACAGCATTGCCTGAAGACCATGGGAGGCTTCAGAGTTAGACTAATGTGCCCCAAATCAATTCGCACAAAGACATTTCACAGCTAATCAATTTGTCAAGAGGCCAATGTGCTGGAAACTATTGGATGAAGACTTTCAAAGGGGTCTAAGGACATGATGCCACTGTGTGTGTGATCATTAAGCTCTAAGGAGATCATCAAGGGTGGCGAGATGGGAGGTTCTCTCCAGTAACAGGGAAGCCACCACCCACAAGTTCTGCCAACTTCACCATCCCTTCCTAGGGAGGCAAACACAACACTAAGAGTCAGCCCCAGAAGTTCATTTCTGGATGTTTAGGTGGACAGCACAAAGGTTTGATTGTGGTACACTAGCTGGAGTGGAGGAGGGAGCAGAGACTTTCTGTATATACCAAACACACACACACACACACACACACACACACACACACACACACACACACACAGAATGTGATTCTCAAAGGCATCAGTAAGCAGACATGTGGCAGTGCATTCAAAGTATCATGCATGCATTCAAAGTATCATGCATGTCATAAACTACAAAAACTTTATCAATGACAGTGGAGGCGCATATCTCTCTTCATACACATTCTGAAGCCATTTCTATTGCTGGACAGGGCCACTCCCCAACTTCCTTATTATCCCCAAGGCTGACAGAGGGATGGCTGCCATCTCAGGAGCTGCAGCAAAATGGCTGTTTTAGCCTCAGTTCACATATTTCACTGACTTTTGGGGGAAAAATTATGTTAAATAATCAGTTAATTGATCTGCCTGCAGGCCTGAGAAATATTTAGATTCCACCCTTGTCCTGTATGGTTCATAGTTTATATTTGGACAAGGAGGAGGGTGGTAAAATGGGAAGTACCTACACTCATGACATCAATTATTTGCAACAACAGACAGAATACCCCCTTATAACTGAGTGGTGCTTTATATCTGACTGGTGCTTCATATCAAAGTACTTTTTACCTACTGACTCATCTAAGGAACATTTTCCGTATGCCTATGCTGTGAGCAGCAGCATAGCAAAGGGGAAAAGCTTCCCTTCCTAGGAACTCCGACACCAGTTCAAATATCAGCCTTGCCAATCACAGGATTCAAGACCATTAGCATACCATTGAACCTTCTAGAGTCTATGCTTCTCTATCTCCAGAATGGGAGTATAACCCAATCTTGCTGGGTTGTATTAAGGGAAATGAAAGGATGTATATACGGCTCTGGCTACAATGTCCAACTACTTGTATATGCTCACCTTGCAGTCATTCTTCTGTTTAAGCAGGTGTTGAACTAGAATGCTAGGGGGATGGAGTATAGAAATGAATGAGGCAATCTCTATTATCAGGATGCTTGTTATCCACTGAAAGAAACAGACAAACAAAAATAAGTATAATGCTCTGATGGCTATAATGGAAGGATGGGAGGAAATACTACAGAAGGAGACTCTCCCAACGGACTTTTCTGGGGGCTGAATAATAGCTAGTAGTGGTTGTTTATTGAACTAACCTGATGTGCCTGGCACTGAGTGAAGAGTTTTCCATACACCCAGGTACTGTGAGAGGTAAGTGTTATAATTACCCACCTTAGGAGGAGAAATCAAAGAGGATTAATTGGCACACAACTGGAGTGAAGATTCATATACATGAAACAAATCCTAGCCTACTTGACTTTAGAAAAAATGATATTTTAGAGTACCATAAAGGAGGAATGTGGGTCATCAGGAAAATAAAGGAGGTGGGGCAGTTCTTTAGCCAAGGGACCAATACAATCAGAATTCTCTCA